ATAACTTCGAATGGTTGCTGAAGGGTAGTCATTAAACAAGGAGTACTGATATTCAGAAGGAAATGTTTATTTATACAATTGTTCTCACAGCTCTGGATGGCTAATGGAATATTACGAATCACTACTGACATCCAAAAAGAACAATTAAAATAATCATAACAAGAACAAAATCCTCGAAACAATATACAATACACAGTACAATGCGCCAAAGCCCAATAAAAACAAAATTTCTCACCGACCTACAAAGTAAACATTGGACAAATCCTACTCCTGCTGACAATGCTTGAAGGTGTCATTTAAAATATAGAAAACATCAACATTCAAGACAGAACACAAGAACAAGAAAAAATAGAAATGACAAAAAAATGAATATTATTCAATGTTATGTTTCTGTTATAAAGATTTAAAATGTATAGGTTTATAAGCTTACTTAGAAAAGGTATCTTTAGAGAGAACTATCAATAAATAGCAATTTGACTTCCAGAACTAAAGCTTCTGATGGGAATCACTCCTCTTTAAGGAACTATAGTAGAAATCACAGAAGAAAAGCGGGGACTCTTTGGAGTAATCCCTTTTCATATTTCATGTTTTGTTCTTTGATTACCTGTAGCTTATGGATTAATACCAACTTATTTCTTATGCTTTTGTTTTGTACAAAATATTTCAGCAGAGCCTGATTTATCTTAAATCCTTAATCTCAGAGTTAGCCATCTGATGAAGGGAGAGGTGTATCTTCTTTATTCATTATCTCTTTAGCTCTGAAATGTCCTTGACACAAACTTTATGCCTGGGAAAATACATGTCTCTCTCTCTGTCTCATTTTCTCAAATCAAGAGAAGTGGTTAATTAAAAAGGTACATATTCTCTAAATCACACCTAAATCTGAATTTCCATGGGATCCTGGGAAAGTCAGTTTTGGGGTTTATCTGCTATAATCTCTGAAAGGGCATAAAGTTGTTGTACTTCATACACTTCCAATATATAATTAATTAGTGTTACCCTCTGGCATGTATCCAATCTTCCTACCTGCTACCTCAAAACAAAACAAAAACAATCAGAAAAATGTAACACATATTAAGCTTTGTTAAAAAAACAACAACCCTATCTTAAAGTGCATTTTTCTCCCATATCATTTTTGTGATATGAGAAATAATCTGATATTCAGTAACATGGGATAGTTTTGAGCTAAAGTATTTAAATCCAGGGAGGTATTATTATTTTCATAGAAAAATGAAAGACTTAAAAACATAAAAGGCCACTATGAAATAAATGAACAAATGAATATAAGATTTACACGGATTATCACTTATATGTTGACCTTGCCATACTAAAAGACATGGATTAATTATGCCCAAAGACCCCATGGAATGATATCCTTCCTGAGGGAAACAAGGAATTGCAAAACCAGAGAAAGGACAGCACCCCCTGGGTCTGAAAATTTGAAATCAGATGATATAATTATGGCAGCACTATGATTCAGATAGCAACAGCATCTCACTTAGCATAGAAACATGATTCTAGTGTGCTGGTTTGCTTCTCCAGGGGCCAACATTTACCCTTATTGACATGGGGAGCTGAAAATACTAGGAAGCTGGTAGAGAAACACACATGCAGCACAAGTTGCAGAGGTGTGACTGACAAAACATTACATGGATATGCATCATAGATGTTGGGTATTGTGCATATAACAGACAAGAAATACCTTCATTCCCATCATGGGGATATGAAAGGGCAAACTGACCGCCTTCCCATTCTACCAATGACATTCGCTTTGGAGGTTTCCAGGGGAACATTACTGATCAGTGTGCAAAGAGAATGCTGGAGTAGACAAGCTTGTAATCCAAATCAACAAATGTAGCCTTCTTAATAGTCTTATCTTGACAGCTGCTTCCTGTTATGGATGCACCACATCAGTGAAGGCTTGTTCAATTCACGACTGGATCCGGAGAGGAGATTTTGACATTCAGATTCACATGCATCCTTATTCAAAAATAAATAACACAAACACTTACTGCAAAATATATGTGCCAAACATTACAGCCTTCACGATTTTTAAACTTTTTTTTCTGCAGTTCAATTACAAGATTAGTCAGCCATCCTTGAACCAGCAAAATGTTATTCTAGCATAACATTTCCGGTCCTTACTGCCGCTCCCTATCCTTCCTCTGTTCTGCTTTGCTGCTGGATTATGTCTTGATTTCAGCTGTGTGGGATCAAGCTATGTGGCTTTGCTCTCCTCTACTTTCTAAACTTTATTAGCTGATGGGAAAACCATCTGACAACCACAGCTCTCAATCAACTGCCAGGCAGTCTTGGTTGAATTGGCTTTCAAAACTGTTGGACAGTCAATTCACAAGATGACTCCCTGATAATCAGGAGAAACTGCAGGTAGACCTTGTTTAGAAACCATTGTTGGGACCAGCAACTTGGTCACTAAGTGAGGTGATTGCTAAATAGAAAAGCATGTGATCACAATTGTGCTTATGATTTTACTTTAGCTTCTCTTTTTTCCCCATTCCCCCATTGTTAGTCCTGCAATGATAATAATCTGCAATACTTCAAACTCTCTATTGTGTCAGGTTATAAACTTTTAATTGTAAACATGAACACCTTATTTTCTATAATTTCTCAAAAAAATGGCTACTGGTTTCATCGCGATTCTTCCATCAAAATTCTCAGTGCCAGTAGCTGCTTTTTTTCAGAGTTTGCTTCACAGGTAATATTATAACCTCTGTACTTTGTGGACTTATTTCAAAATACAGAAGCTATTAAACTGTTAACTTTTTTTTTTTTTTGCATTAACTCCTAGGCATACATCTAATGATTTTGCTTAGTATAAACTGGGTTTATAGAAGGCATGATTTACATGCCAAAAATGGCTGATTGTGCCAAACGAAATATGAGAATGCACATTAGTTTACCAAACTATTAATTAAGCATAAACATTTATCTCCTTTAGAAAGTAATCTTGAGGTCAGGCTGATCAGTTGTATTGATATAAGAGGGGCTGCATCTGCAACATTAATGTGTGCCAAAATAATTATGTCTAAGTCACTAGCCAAACCTATCTGCCCTCACCGAATATCTATTTCAGTAACAATTTTTGATAATTATACCATGGCAAAACTCCGTCTGGCTTTTTTGTCTGTGTTTCAGAAGTGGGGTCTTCTTGAGTTTTCTACCTTATTTTCACTCAAAAAGCAATGGATGGTGCAACCTGATAGTATTATACTTTGGAAATCAGCCAGGATGTGTTTTGAAGTCTTCGTTGATTATTTCTCCAGCATTTGAAACACCCTTCTGTTTTTAAGTGTTGGTCAATTTTCCTCTTGGGTCAATGTCAAGAATAGTTGGCTATAGGTCCATGGACCTTAAACTTGACCTTATTAGCCACCATGGACACAGGAAATAAGACTCATTGGTTGATGGTTTTCTAATTTTTCCTTTTACTATCATGTTTCCCCGAAAATAAGACCCAGTCTTATATTTTTT